AGACAAAGCATCAAGAACTTACTACCAGCAGGCTCTTACTCAAGGAAAATATAAAGGCTGTATTTCAGAGAGACATGTCACCAGATAGAAAGTATGAGAAGTGAGAAGACCTAAGAGTGAAAATAGAATAAAAGCAAACCACTAATTGGATAAAACAATCTTAATTTAATAATTATACCATGAAAATATAACATAGCTTGGTTAGGGGTGCAGAGAGTGGGAAAAAAATAAAAAAGATTTCATTGAGGGTAACAGAGTTGGATGTGGCTGAGGGGCAGAGATTGGTAGAATCAAGAGGAATGAGGTGGAACTAATGAATTAGGTTGTGTAGCCAGGTCCAGGAGCTCATTCCTGTAATCCCAGAGGCTCGGGAGGCTGAAGCAGGAGGATCTCAAGTTCAAAACCAACCTCGGCAACAGTGAGGCACTAAGTAACTCAGACCTTGTCTCTAAATAAAATACAAATTAGAGCTGAGGATGTGGCTCAGTGGTTGAGTGCCCCTGAGTTCAATCCTGGTAGCCAAAATAGTAAAAATCATTCTTATTATTATAGTGTGTAGACCATGCAAAATGACATCATGTGGGCCTGGTGGGTCATGCCAGTTGTTCATCCCAAGCACAGGAAGACACTATTCTAAGTTGCAATCAGGGAGGAAGTTGTCCAGTGAACGCTCTGAGTATAGGCTAAAGCAGGGCAGGAGTGGATAGAGGGTGTCCACTTAGGTTGCTTTTGCAGTTCTGATTGGGAGATGATGACAGTTTAAATTATGGAGAACAGTGCACATGACTGATTGTGGGTGGAAACAAGAGACATTTAGGACATACCACTGATGGCTTTTGAGACACACCTAATACGAGAGTGAGCAGAGGAAGAAACTGAGAAGGACACTGCCACATTCACCCAAATCCATATGTTGAAACCTAATCCACAACACAGTGGTATCTGGGGGTAGGGCCTTTGGGAGATGATCATGCAGGGATGGAATGGCTCTTCAACACTGGAAAGAGAGCATGAGAGCCCATGTTGTGTTTTCTTCCCCAGTATAGGGATTGCCTCGGCTCCCATCCCGCAGCCCGCATAGAAGCCTGGAAAAG